TGTTTTTGCCTAAACATTACATTTACTCGACTAATCACTAATCTGATCGTTTCTGAGTTATTGTGCAGAAATCTGGAAAAATAATTACAAAACTACCCTAAAAACAATACAAGACTACAAGAAAGAGCAATAAAAATTATCCATAAGGCCTGATAATTAAAACAAAACATGCTTGTTTTGTAAAATCCAAATGATTTAAGTTTGTAATTCTTTACAAAGACAAAAATAGATAATTACTGGAAAACATTCAAATATTGTTTAAAACTAAGAACATTTATAAGTTAATAGGGGAGTTAAATTTAAAATATACAAACTGAATACACATAGAAAACTGGAGAAAACAGAATATTGAACTTGAAAAAGCATAAAACTGTTAAAATTATTACATAAACATATAAATATTGATGGATATAACTTAATATCATTAGTACATAATTCTTATTGAAGTTAGTTTTGTTTTTTGGTGAAATATGGTTAAAATATGAAATATCCACTAAATGTCTAAGACGCTTTACAAGCTTGAAATGGACTGAAAACTTTTCTTACATGAAAGTTTTGTCATTTTGCCTTAATATCTGTTCAGTTCGCTTTTCAAATTCTGAATAAAAGCGATATTTTTTACAAGATAGTTAAAATATGTGAAGTGGAAGCTGCATGAACAGTAAACTGAAAAATCCAGGACAAATAAACAATTTCACTTCTGTTTTTAGAGAGAGAAAAAAGAAGTTGCCACTCAGCATTGTGAATGTTATGCTGCCATCTAGTGGTGTAGTGTCAGATTGCAACCTATCATTGTTTAAAATCTTAATTCTCCTGAAATTAACCCTCTTTATTTTCTTATCCTTGTATGTTATTTTGTAATATGATCAATTACTCAACATGTTCTTTTTTTTCTTTTTTAATCAAATTTCATCTTTATTTTAGCATTTGTGGCAGGAGCTCAAACTGTAAGAGTGGAGGCCAAATATAAAATAATAACCAAAACATCAGAGTGGCAAAAACTGCAATGAAGGAATGAGAAAACCCCAAAGGTCTGGAACAAACAGAAGCAAAAGATAAAGAGCTAAAAACAGCAGAGAAACTAACAGTGAATGAGGAAGTGAGATGCATAAATCAGAATCAGGTGGGAGAACTGGACTTCATTTAAGAAGTTTCTGAATGCAACAAATGCAAAGCAGGACAAAAGTCCAAAGAATATCTCAAACTATCACACCAAAAAGTGGCAAATCCAGCAGTAAGTGCAAAATAATGTCAAAAATAAAACACACAGCAGTCAGAAGCATACAAATAAATGCTAAGGATCACAACAGAAATACTAATAAAAAAATATAAAATTATAAACTGATATGGTTTTTCACCAACTGGTGTAAAATAAAACATTTTTACTTTGGGGAATGTTTCGACTTTTTATATCTCATAAGAAAAAAAGAATGACAGACAGTTCAACGTAAAAGTTTTATTTTATTTTATAGAATTGGGATCAATATACAATCAACCACTACAGATAAATTTACATCCACTGTTAATGACAGGATATTTGAATGTAGACAAAAATAAAACCTCAACACTTTTGGGGATTTATCAGGACTAAATCACAGCGAATGTAAAATAAATAAAAAAACGACTTATATTTAATGGATGTAATTGTTAGTAAAACAGCAGCTGAGGTTACAATTAATTTAATTTAGGTTAAATTAACGCAGGTTTGCTTTTCTAACAGGCCTCATCAGGGATTTTTCTGTAAAAAGATACAATTATTAACTTAACTTTTAAGTATTTATGTTAATGTTTTTCTTAAAACATATTAAGCAAGTAAAATACGACAGTTCAGGTCGTTGCTGTGAACACTCACCTCTCCCAGCAGGTGTGCGCAGGCAAAAACCTTCCCCGGAGTCCTGGGAACCTTTTATCAGTTCCTGGTCTAGATTTTTGTATTTTATATTTTTCTCCAGTTTCTTGTGCAAATATCCCAGAACGCTTGAAATAAGACATTACTAACTCACAGGTAACTTTTCAGCAAGACATAAGAGCTGGTTTTAAATCAATAATTTCTTCATATTGATTTTTAAAAGGTATTTATTCCATTTGCTGTTATAAAATGTTCTTAAAGGGCCAGTTGTGCCAGAATGCATTGATAAAACCCACTAAACTGTTAAAATATAAATGAGTTGCCTTTTATTCCAGCATTCAGTAAGCATTTCTTAAAATTAAAATTGAATAATATTGATAATATTAACATTTTCATCTCAGATTTTTCAGTCAAAATTAGAGATTTTGTGTTGCTAAATTTAGAAAAATGTAGAATTTTTAAGATATTTGCGCTAATGTACGATGCTAGACGTGACTTTTTATTACTCCCTGTATCGATCACAGAGTATGGCTTCACATCAGGTGAAGCTGAGGCAAAAGTCACTTAAAACCAAATGTTTTTGGCCAATTTTTAGAAAGAATTGCAGTAAAAAATGTGGGGATCTGCTGGTTTTGTGTGAATTTTGCAGATTGGTGGAAAACTGGAATGTCTAATTGATGTAATTTGGAGTCTGAAGGGCCACATAAAAAGCTACAGCGTGCCACATTTGGCCCCCATGCCTCGAGTTTGACACGTTATAAGTGAAATAACCTGCCAGTAGAATTAGTACTTTTCCATGATCAACAAATTGAGCTGATCAACAAATTGAAGGCAGAGTATTCTAAAACTGTGCTAAACTTTGAGCTGTAGCAATATAAAAACGCGAGTATTTTTCCATATTCAGAGGCGTTTTATCTCCTCTTACATGATTTTCTCCCATAGAGTTGAGTGGACACTAGAGGGCAGCCAACTCTCGTCTACTAACTGTATCCGCAGCCGGCATCATTTCACCAAGCTGTCTGTCGCCTGCAGCCCTTCATCCAAACAGAATCACACTGTGAAATAGGATTACGTGTCAAGCAAAGCAATGATTGAGCACAATTGTTGTGCTTTGGCAGCATCAAGGAATAAAAAGGAAAGACACAAACGTGGATTTCCTGTTTGTCACGCTGATGTGAGTCGTCTGTGAAGCCACATTAAGATAAGTCGATCCTTGGTGTCAAATGATGGGCATCTTACCATCCACACTTCTTCCTGCTTTTATAAACATTTCTTTTTTTTAACCAAAGGAAAAAATAAAAAGAGAAAGAAATAGCAGTTCCTTGTCTGGTTGATCCCCAGAGAGCATCCAGACTGAGTTATTGCCCTATAATTATGTGCAGGAGTGAAAGTGTGTGTGTATAAATGAACGTGATCTGTTTTAAAAGGAGTTTCACTAGGGTTGCTGTTTCCTCAGATTGTGGATTTGGGACTTGATCTCCCTTTATGGGCTGCCGTTTCCTCCACACCCGCGCTGGCTGAAGAGGCTGATTCGAATTATACAAAGACACGTTTAGCAAAAGGAAAATCATCAAATCAGAAACAAAACGAGGGGTGGGGATTAAGAAAGCTTCTGAGCCTCATATTTCATCAACATCTCCTGCATGCCGATGAGCTGCAGGTTGATGCGAAACAGACGAGTCTCTGGAAGCTTCCTGTTTCAAAACCTTTGATGTCTTGGTCAGTCTGGACTGGCAGGGCGGCCGTCTGCAGCCTCAGAGGTCGGGTCCCCTGGTTTGACCCCTGAGGAACCAATTAACCCCTGATCTGAGATCAATTAACCCATGCTCTGCACCTCAACAGGATAGCATCAATGAAGAGCACAAACAAGTTGAAGCATGCAGCTCTTCCTGACAACAAAGTGTAAAAACAGAAATTCAACTGTTGAGAGACAAGAAAACTGATTTGGACAAAAATGTTTACAAAAATGACAAAGTAAAAAGCAAAAATGCCTCTCAATGTTTCGTCCAGACTGTCATCTCACATTTCAGTTCATTAAATATCCCTAATGAACTACAGAAGAAAGTCTTTATTAATCACGCCTGACCGAGGCGGCGGACAGCGGCTCATCTGAGTCAATATCCTCTTCAGCAGAGCTCTGGATCAATGGCTGCACTGAAACGACGGCGCACAGGTTGATTGTGATACGTACGTTGTGACAATGTGTGGAAATCACAGGCTGGAGGTTGATGAGGAAGAAAATACTCAAGACTTTGTGATTTCTATGGATTTTATTTTGCATGTGCAAGAGTTTTATTGGGATCTTGTGGACCGACTCAACACAAAGGAAACGGATGCTATTCAATTTTATGTTGATAAAAATCTGAAAAGTGAATATAATCTAATGAAAGCAACAGTGTCTGTAATGTATCCTCAACCCCAATGGATCACAAAGACCAAGAAACAAGAAGGTTAGTAAGAAGTTTGACTCAAAGTACGTTTATAAAATCACACCTCAAGCTTTTAACAACTCAAAATTCTGTCAAAAATCTGAGGCAAAACCTGCCAAGATATCGGCGTACGCCTAAACCGACATCAGGATTAGCAGAATAAACAATCACTTTCATTTTATTTTTTATTTCATTCACACACAAAAAGTGTTTGCTGCTAATCTGCCATGACACAGACGGCTGACATCCATCTTTCCTTAGTTACGCAATAAAATGAGGAAGTTTGGTTTCCATCCTTGTCAAGGTTTTTTAATGCGAAATCAACCTAATAAAAGGGACTTTATGCCATCAGACGTGCGGTTCTTTTGCCGTCCATTGTGGCGGAGTTTCGAAGAGAGTGACGTCACGTGCAAAGGGTTAATAATATCTGCTCCTTATTCACACAAAAAGAAAAAATCATCAGACTATCACAGACAAAAGAAATATACCCACCAATGCCACATCACTTCTTTGCAATGATTTTTATTAGATTGTTCTGTTTCACCTTTAAAGAGGGAACATGTGCAAGAAGCAAATGATTAACACTTCCACATCTGGCAGAAACACGCTCCTCGGCATGGTGGCGATGGAATCATGCTGTGGGGATTTAGCAGAGACAGAGAAGTTGATGAAAGGAGCTAAATGCAATAAAATATGTCTGCAAGACTCCAGAGACAAGAGCATTCTCACCTTTCACCCCACAGAGCTGAAATTAAATTGTTTACTTCAATGTTTATTCATGTGCTGAACGCTACTTATACTTTTGCGAAGCGTAATCTATTCACTGACGGAAATGTATGCTGGGAACTACAGAAGAGGGCACCTTTGGGTTAAAAAATGCTGGAATACAGAAGCAGTTCAGAAAGGAGAGCAAATTCTTTCACTATTGACTGGAATAAGTAAGAGATGGAAAGAAGTACCTGGAAAAGATGAAGACTGAGATGGGAGGAGAGTAATTGAGACATGTGAGGGAGAAAGGGAGGGAGAAAAGGCATCTGATGAAGAGGGGGATATGCACAAACACACACACACACACACACAGGGAGAGAGGGAGAAAAGAAACTGTTAAAGCGTCTGTTCGCTGTTGCCAGTCTCAGCTTCGCTCAGTTTGTGCAGGAGGCTGCAGCTCCTTCCCTCCAGGATCTCTACCAGCATCACTGAGCAGATCTGAAGTCTCCTCACTCTCAGCTGGGATCACTTCATGATTTCCCCTTTTCTTTCTTTCTTTCCTTCCTTTTCTTTTTCTTTTCCTGGTGAATGGATGACAACAGCCAGCCGTATATAAATGGATTTCTCGCAGCTGAACTAATTTGAGTTCAAACACGGGATCTGGAGAGATCAGACAGAACAGGGCGCTCCAAGTCCGCCTCTCGTGTTGCTGGTTTGCGGGCGCAGCACTTCATTGTGCCTTGGATATGGGACCGTGCGTCAGCCCAGCGGGATCCGGATCCGGTGCCGTGGGAAGAGCGTCCTCCTGAAGCAGGAAAAAGACCCTCTGCTGGGTTTTCCTCTTCTTCTTTGATTCTAATTATTCTGTGGAGGGAGGGGCGGCTTTGAGATTTACGCGCCGGAATGATGCGTCCCAACCGCGGCTTCATCCTGCTCCTCCTCAACGGAACCGCTTGTTTGGTAAGAAAAGAGTGGGAGTGGGCAGAAAGTCGCACTTTGCTTTCCACGCACCGATTCGATTCGAATCCACGAAAACTTCACAACTTATTCGAATATGACGATTTGCGTGAAACGCGCAGCTGTTTCTTTGCGCCAGAATGCAAGCGGAGTCGCCGTTTGTTTAGCTGGACGCTGATTGTCATGATGTTTCTCTAATCAGGCAGAGAACAGGCTGAGTTCGGGTCCGGACGGGCAGCTGGCTGACATTGTTCCCAGGAGGATGACGGTCCCAACCCGTCGCTCCTTCTCATGTTAATGTAGTCAAATAAAGTGCAAAACGAGGGTCAAAATGCAAAACTTTATTTGAAAATACAGATTACAAAGACGCAGGTTTTATTTACCAAAGTGTTGCCAAGACGATCAACTTATTTCTTTGTAAAGAAAAAAAAAAAAAAACATTTTAATTCAAACTAATTGCAGATATTAGTCAGTGTGACTGTTGAACAAAGACCCAAACTGCCTGACTGGTGAATCCAAAAAGGCAAAAACCAGACTGCTGACCTCAGAGCAAATGCTGCCATCCTTACATAACCTGCAGTCAGATTTAAACCGCCCACTCCTCTTTCATGCAGAGGGGTTCAAACGCAGCTTTCTAATGAGACCACAGTTCTGGATCCACTGGAGGAAACTTGAAAAACATGGTTGTGTTGGGAAACCCCTGGGCTGCCTGCAGCTCAGTCATCCTGGAGCCCAGGGAGCCGAGGAGCTGATGAAGGATCTGCTCCCCTCGCTCATTGTGACCTTGTGATTGAGATTCTTCACACTTGCAGCAGTAAGAAAGTTTTTCCCGCTCCTCGATAATCTGGGAAGTATTTCCCTTTTCCTGCTGCCTTTCTCCCAGTCAAGTGACGATCTTTGTGCGCTTGAGGGCTTTTTTCCTCTCCTCCCTGCCAGACCGCGTCTCTGACTGAAAACATGACATCGCTCAGCAGGAGATCTGCACTAATTCATTAGCTGTGACATTGACAAATTAGGAAGGAATTAATATATTAAGTAACTCCCTTTTTTATGCAGCAGAGGAGCACTTAATAATATAATCACATAAGCCCACTCTGCATTAAAAATTCTGATTTGGATTATTTTCTGTAGTAATTCCCAGACAGGCTCGTTCTCCAGGGATCCTTTGCGAGCGACGTCTATTAATACAAGGTGCCACTCCGCTTGTTGTTTATATGATTAATGATGTGTTTCAAATGCTAATTCTTCCTGTTTGAATGGAGGGTTATGAATAATCCAAACCATCTGAGTTGTATAATTGACTACTTGAGAAATTGTTTATTTTTGGCAGCGGTTTGTGTTATTCTTCATCGGTGAGCTCTGGATTTGGAGCGCCGATGTGCATATAGGAAGATGATAATCTGCGGAGGATTTGGGATGATAGTTGGATGTTTAGCAGCTCCAAACACAAAGCAAGCATTTCACATTTACTATGAAAAGTTTTCAGCTTAATTTACACTTTCTGTTCATATCACATAATGCAGGGGTTGTACATAAATAGTGATTAAACACTTGATCAAGAGCTTTACCAGGCCTTGTTTTCAGTTTACTCTGATTTTTGACCTTTGTTTTTTTATTATTTGTTGTTTTGAATCCAACAGACAATAAAGGAAATTATTTTTCATCCATATTTTTTTAAAGTAGAAAATATTTGCAGCTGTTTTGCAATGAGCAGAAATCATAACATCTTTGACCTGCAGTTCAGTTCACAGTTAGTCATTTTATTTATGTAGCACATTTTCAGCAACAAGGTAATTCAAAGTGCTTTACATGAATTAGAGGAAATACAAACAAAATAAAAGAAAAACAAAAAGTACTCCACAGTTTATAAACTAATAGGAGTTTCTCTGGATAACAGTATAAAACTGCATCCCCATGTTTATAATTTCTAAACTAGTTTCTCTGGATTCTTGTTCTGATAAAATTAATGTTAATTCCTCATGTTTGGTAAGATTAGAGAGATATATCAAGTTAATTATTAAAAGAAATTGGTTATCCAAACTATCTGATCCGATTGATCGGTGCATCTTAAAAGAATTTAAAAAACTTCTGGTTTGCCCATTAAGCAGCTGTGGAGTTAAAACTGTTCCACATGAAATCTGTCTGTACCTGTAAACAGGTACAGACAGATGTAGAGATGAGCAGAAAGAGCAGGAGAAGGGGTGAAAACAGGAAGGTTTCTAAATCTAAACCTGTGGAAAAGCTCCTGGGAAACGGCGTGTAGCCGACTGCTGCATGCGCAGCAGAGTGCAGAGCGGTTCATGGGATTTGGGACGGATGAGGTTAATTGAATGCGCCTCTCTTTCTCAACAAAATGAGCATCTACCAATAACAGGATGAAGTGCCCTCAAACAGGACATTGAACTCTGCCGGGGAAAACAGGACGTTTCTGCCTGCAATTAATTCAAGATTGCTCCTCTTTGCCTTGAGATGCAGTCCTCCTCCCATTCAGCCCGGCAGTTTGAAATGTTTTTAATCAAACACGTTAGCAGGAGTAGAGACCCTGCAGCAGAGGAACATGACCTTCAGACCCGGCGGCTCCTTCTGCGTGTTCATGTTGAGCACAATGAGGAATAAAATGTTGTGGAAAGGAGCATCGTCAGGTTGCCTCGCTGTGGCCGTGAGAGTCAGAGCTGCTTCGTTCTGCGTCTGCTTTGTTTGCCAGATTTCATCCTGATAAAGGCAGAATCTGGATTTCAACAAACCTGAAGGTCACAATGCAACATTTTTATTTCCAGCTCTGGAGAAACGCAAAGCCCACTGCACTGAAAACCTCCTGTTATCCCACCTAATATTGATCTCTGAACTTTTCCTCAGTAAAAACATTGTTTCTAAACAAATATGAATTTGGTTTATTTGGGTCTTCTTCGTTATTGTCACCATTTCTTATTTTCTGAAAATAAACACTGAATTTATACTTGGAACGTCAGAAACATGTTATCAGTAGTTCATAGAATAAAAGAACAATGTTAATTTTACTCAAACATAAAGAGTAAAATTAGAGAAACTGATCATTTCAAGTGTCTCTGTATAAGCAGGTGTTTGGTATCCAGATAACACATAAGACTTTTAGAAACTTTCACTAAAACTGTTTAATGTATCATAATGCATCATTGAATAAGTAATGTTCAGATACTGAACCTTCTGTGGAGCTAGAATTGAATGAAGTTAATTTAATCAAATATCTTGAAACTATGAGATTTGGTTGTTTCAGAAATGTCATCAGTAATGTTTAGAGGCAGAAATGACAGGAGGATTTCAAAAGTGAAACTGCTTTAAAACAAAAGCATGTTGGTGCAGCTGAAAAATACAAGACCAAAAAAAAAAGTTTGATGCAGTTTTGAGTTAATAATGTTTGAAAATGATATTGTTAATTTAATGCATCCAGCCATGAAAGTTTATGTTGTAATTACTGAGAAAGTGGCAGATTTTTCTTCCTGTTTCTTTTTCACTCGTTTACAGTGAGTGTTTAGTGATTAATTGATGACAGCTTGCATACAGATAGAGCTACACATTGAGTGTACTTCCAGATTTGTGTGTGAGGTTAAAACGCAGAAGCAGACGGACGATGACTCTAACCACATCGGACTCGCCTCTCCGTTCTGAACTGTCACAAACTCTCAGACTCACGCCCGTCCTCCTGGCGGGGTCAGCCACCTTGTCCTTACAGATACGTCCCACACTAAGCAGAAAAATCATCCCAATCCAGAGAAAACCAAACCGTCTCCGTTAACGCTAATCCTGCGCCGGGTCGCTGCTCCGGACCTCTCTGCTGTCAAAGCTCATGAACCTCCTTGCCTCTGCCGTATGTCCCACACAGATGCTCAAAGGGAAACAACAATTGTTCAGGAGGCATTTCCGCTCACAGATTCTGGACATGCTGCTGCACAATGAAACATTTATCTGGCAGAAAACCATCTGACGTGAGTCAACTCTAAAATAAACGACGAGATGCACTGATGTGGCTCACCCTTTGTTTTAGAGAAGTGGTCTCAAACTCATTTTGGTTTTGGGCCAAATCAAGATCCTGAAGGCTCTTAAAGGGCCGATTGTGCCAGAATGTATTGATAAAAACTGTTCACAAACTGTTAAAATATGAATAAAAATCCTTCAATAAACTCCCAATTAGATTTTAGCGCAAAAAAGTTTTTAATTTTGTGTGAATGTCTGATAATTCTCAAGAAACTGGAGGGACTGATTGATATAATTTGGCAATGAACAAATAAAAACTGCATTGATTTGACTGATTACATAACATTTAAGCACACTCAGTGTTTAGTCTGGAATCTAGAGGGCCACATAAAGAGATATGGCAAGCCGTATTTGGCCCGGATTTGACACATTTTAGATTAATGTAGCAGAAGAAAAATATTTAGAAATCTTACAGCATTCACGGTCCGGTTTTAAACACACAACTCACAACCAGATAATGATCACATATGAACCAGATTTGTTTACAAAACGACATGAAGGAATCAACAAGGGCTATCAAAAACAATACACAGTTTAGACAAAACTAAGTTACGTAACTCATGAAAAGGATAGAGGCTTGTTTTAAGAACATATTTCTTGATATTGATGAAAAAGTTCTGATTCCATTGGTATATTATTTCACTGATAGCAATATTAAGGACTTATTTCTTAAATATAAGTTACTTAAGTTAGTTTTCTCTTATTTCAAGTGTACTAAGATATTTGCACTAGACTAAAAGTTCTTGGTAAGACTTTGCGTTTTTGCAGTGAGGATTCTTGTTCGGGTTAAAAAGTACTCAAAAAAACAAATGTAAAAACTTCCTTTCAAAAAAGCAATGCAATAATCAATATTCCCTTCATTGGCTGTAATCAGGTTATCAGTTGAGGTTAAATAAAATAATCAAAACTAACATTTCCAGTTCTTTCCTGCCTTTAAATGTATTGACTTTAGTAGAAAAACAAAGTTTGACCACAAACTTTGATGCATATTT